TATAAATAAAATTTATAAAAATAAATTCATTTTTTCGTTAAGTTGTATTATTTAATAGATAATGACTTAAAGTATTATTTCTTAGAAGTCAATTGGAAAGCATGTAAGAAATTGTATTATTTTTGATTGAACCATTTTCATTTACTATCTTGAATGTTTAGTAACTTTAAAGAAACTATCTTAATATAGATAATGATTTTGCTTTATCACTTTTATAACATGTAAAAAGTTAAAATTAAATTTGAAAACGCATTGATCCGCAACCCGCCTCGCCCCACATTAATTTTAAAAAAAACTCACATCAACACGCCCCACATCGCTATTCGCCACAACCATGAACCCACCCCACTCCACATAGCCTTAAATCCATCTCGCCCTACATTTGCTCCATCTCATTGCCATCCCTACTCCGAACATAACAAATAATAAATATGTTGCTTCATGACCATACATTAATGTAAAATGATTATACTATTCAATAATCACTACCCCACGTGATATGCATGACAAACTTCATCTACTATCAATAAAAGTGATTAATTGTCGATACAAATATATATGGCTAAAAAGTTCCAGCTGAGAAAATTCAGTTAAACTTTTTAAATATACATTAAATCACCATCGATGTAACTTATCTTATATTCAATTGTCACCATAATATCATATGTACGTGGGAGGTAGAGACTGTGAATGTACATGAATCGAGTTGGTTTGAGTTTTTCAGATAGTTTTGAATTTTTACCTCAAATTTTTTCAGGTTTTCAATTTTTTCAATAAAGTATTTATATAAACATTTATTTAGAATTTATTGCATATTATATTATATTATAAGGATAAAGAGTTTGAGGTTCTAAATTTCCTTTAGAACCGTCAATCAATTTTGTTAGGGATTCACAAATTAATATACATATATTTAATTAATTTTCTAGTCCAAATACAGGGTCTACAAAAAAGCTACTGAGTTCGTCCGAACCCCTACCTAGCTCCGCCTCTAATTATATTATATTATATTATATAATATTATATATTTTTTGTAATAGCATCTCACTATAATAGTCAAAATGTTTCTATACAAATAACGTCGTTACAAAAAATATTTGCCCTATATGCCTCCTAGACTGATCAGACATACAAAAACCAATTAGAATTTCACTTCCCCTTCAACAACTAATTAGTAATTACCACATGATAATTATGAATTTGTACTTTAAGACTTTGGTACAACTTGACATATATACATATAATAATTCCTCTTTTTCCTTTGAATGATGATGTTATTACTAAAAAAAAAATGATGTTATTACTATGGACGGTAATGTTTGTATTACATCAGTGGGTTAGTCATCTCTTTCCACTCTCACTATTTTTATATTTCTCTAATACTTTGTCCTAGTTTATGTTTAATTTTCTCTGTCTCATTTTACGTGATATTTTATTTTTTGAGATTCAAATTACATAAATATTGAGTACTTTTCATCATATTGATGTAAAATAAATTTGTAATTATAGTAATATTAAATTAATTTAATTTAATTTAACTTAAGAATCAATTAAATCAGCTCTCGAAATTTTTTAAATTTAGCATGAATTGAAAAGGAGGGAGTAGATGTTCTCTTTTAAGTGAATCTTTTTATTTATTCATCAATTTAGTACCCATGATAATATATAACTATTTCATTAATTTTAATTCATGATGTCTTATTAAAATATTATTCATTTTTGTTGCAATACATTATTGCCCATGTTTGACAATGCTATCACAAGGTCTAGTGGAAAGCATTGCCATCTTGTTAAGATTGAAAATATAGTTTGTGTTATTCAATAATAAAAATGTATCATTCTATAGATATATATATATTCATTCTACAAATGTAACTCCTTCGCTACTTTTTCGATTATTATTATATATAGAGAGAGGGGTTGTCCTAGTGATTTAGAGGGTGTAAAATTAATTTTGAGATTTCAATTAACTTCTATGTACTATATTTTTATTTTTCAAATCTTCTTAAAAATCCTAAATTCGCTATTGCTTTTATGATTCCAAAACATATCTCAATATATTTTTTTTGTTCTTTATTTATCGGTGTTCAAGGTTTAATTTGCAATGATTATTTTTTGCATGATGTTGTGTTATTTCAATACCCACAAAAACTTGTGTCTTTGATAAAGAACTTTTTACCTCCCAAAGTGAAATTTTATTGAAAAATTCAAATTAATCAGACTTTAAATTAAATACGTGACATGATTAGATAATTTTTGTTTTTGAAAAGATAGGTGGTGGTAAATTAGGGCACACATGTCTTGACCTTTTATTAGGCAACAAACCAAAGACAAAATAAATGAAGGTGATTGAGCTTTTATACAGGCCACACGAATATCTAACTTCATGGAATGGTTGAGATTCTTTCACTCTTAATCATTCGAAATTTTGGGTGTGAACCCGAGTACGAAATTTTTTTTTGTTGAAAGCGTCACCCCAAAAAAATAAACCCTATAATGCATAAATCTGAATTAGTTTAATTCTAAATTCTAAATATTGATCACAACTCACATGTAAAAAGATATGAGCGTTTGCCTAATACAAATTAGAAGTGTTCTGTCAAATGAACTGTTTCAGCGCAATGGCTAAAAAGAAATTTCATATGCAATTTAAGATATTATTACTATCTTATGAGCAGCTTGCTATACTCAATTAGTGTTTTTCTTTAGTCTATCATAAGCAACCAAGCGGAAGTAAGTTTCTCTCTTTCTATTTGCTTAATATGCAATTCACTCCGAGCCGAGTCATTGTTGGGGTTGGGTTGGTTGATCGTCCAAAAAATTATTCTTATCCCATCCGTTAGGTTTGTATGTATCCACGCTCCTGCTTATTATTTTCTAGAACCTCATGAACTATCCTTTCCGATAGAGATTACAAAAAATGTATATATATATTATTTTTTTTATACAAAAAATGTATACTCTCTGTTGCAAATGTTAAAAAAATAATTCATTTTAAAAGTTTTTTATTAATATTTTAAGATTCAAAATTCATAAAATTAAAATTCTAAATTCTACAAAATTAATGAATACCAGTTCTGTGGGAAGAAAATGTGATTTTTTTGTCAATTCATGTACACATCACATGGCTAGAAGGGCATCTAAAAAAATATTTTTTTTATATTAATAATATAGTAACAAATATTATTATAGAAGGAAATTCAGTTAACAATTAAAATAAAGTAAGGAAAATTTTCAATCACACTTCAGATTTTATGCATCGATAAAATCATTTAATTAAGAGAAATTTTCAAAAATGATTATAGTTTGGGAGAGAGAAGAGTGATGCTAAATACATGATGTATTCGACGAATATAATTTTTATCTACGAATACAATCTAAATTCGATACATACAGATTGCTAAAAATTGATAAATACAAGCTGACACAATTGGTAAACAATACCATGGCATTGTATCATATGTTTGAGAGGTGTACTTAGAACTTAAAGTATGTGAGAACATAATAAGCATAATTTTATTAAATAAACAGACCTTTTCATACCAGTCCTTCTTTATAACAATAATTTGTTATAACAATCTAGCTCTTTTAGAATCGATGTCATAATATGTTATATAAAGAAAACTCAAATGTATTTATATATTTAGTTTATAAGTTTATTTTTTTTTATATATGTACATATATTAAACCCTATATATATATATAATGCCTCCTAGTCTCCGACATTCATAAACCAATTATAGTTTCACTTTTCCTTTTAACAACTAATCATTGAATATGAACTTTTACTTGTCAATTTTTGAATTAATACACCTATTAAGAAAATAATTATTGGCATAGTGAGTTTACCATTTTATCTCTATTAATTATGAAGTGGATAAATAAAAAATTTAAGATTTTCAAGAAGTTCTACATTTTTCGAAGTAATTAATTGAGGGTATAATAGGTAAAAAAAATTTGTCCTTCCTTGATTTGTCAAAATGAACAAGTAATTAGAGACAACTAAAAAAAGATAAGTGGACAAGTAATTAGAAACAGATGGATTACTTAAAAAGACTTTGGTGCAACTTGACATATACATTTAATTAAACAAAACTCTAATAATTCTTTGAATGATGATGTTATTTTTACTATGGTCGGTAATGTTGTATTACATCATTGGGTTCGTCATTATTTTAATATCTATTTATCAATTTACTCATGACAATATACAACCATTTTATTGACTTTTATACATGATGTCTAATTGTAAAATTATTATTCATTTTGTTGCAATGGTGGTCCTCTCTATTCATTATTTATAACACATTAATGTTTAGTGGAACTGTATGGGCGGAGCTAGCAAGAATCTCGTGATTCATCCGAACCCTCTTCTTTAAAAAAATTATTGTTTATATATAGTTAAGATCAGAAGCGAAGCAAGAATTTTAATTTTATGAATTCTGAATTTTATAATAATGATTTCAACTGTTGATAATTGGGTTATAAACTTCATATATGTACATATTTGACAACACACTATTTGAGCAAAAGTTACTGGATTCAATCGAATCCGTACGTGGACTTCTAGCTCCACCCCTGGTCAAGATTATTTTTCATATATATATAGTAAATATTGAACCCCTTGGACTTTTTCATGTGCTTGCCTTTTTGTATATATGAACATCCTTCGTGAAAATCCCGATTCCGTCATTGAGTAGAAACATTGCCATCTTGTTAAGATTGAAAATACGAGAAGAAACTTTCTCATTCTAAAGCCTAAAATTTCTACAAGACAACCCAGATACAACAGAAAAATTGTATGTTGTGATGATCTAAAATTTCTACTAGACAATAACTTACATAAGAATTAAGATCATACTCAACTACTTTTTATTAGAAAAAAAGTCTCAAATTAAATAAATGTTGATTGACACAAGAACAATTCATATTGCAATACAAGAAAAAAAAATCACTTATTATGAAAAGTTCCTAGAATAGGTATAAAAAATCCCTGTAAATTTTACAGAACTTATGCTCATTACATCACAGTTCAGTCAATATGCCTCAATAATGCAATGGTATCAACCAAAACTAAACCAACACCGCGATTTTTTCAATCTGATATCAGTGTATCGAGTTTGCCAGAAGGCCACCTTGGTTATCTTTGAGAAGCTACTGGTAATCATTATGTTTCAAGGGGCTCTGTCAAAGGGCTTAGTATCATTGTAACAAACATCCCAGATAGCTTCCATGGCATCCCTACTCGCGGACTCTGAACAGTTTGGGTTACCAGACATCGATTTCATAACTCTTCGCTTTACACATTCCTTCATAGAGCCAAATGCAGAGGGAAGAAAGTTAGAAACTAATTAACAATTAAGCAACTTCTTGTCATACATGTACAACAAAAGGACCTATATAAAGTTACATACAGACGGTCCATATGCATTGAAGGATCAATTATGAAATGATATTTGGAGACAAACCTAAAAATCCCTCTTTCCAATTCGATTTTATCTTTCCGATAAAACTTATGAATAGCTTGAGAGTTCACAAAATTGTCAACTTCTTTTACCTTTTCATCACATACAGTATCGTTAAGGTACACATTGGGTCAACGGCTAAGGTAGATGGATAATACCTTCTGTCTCGTGAACCCATACAAGTAGTGCAGCATTTGTTACATTCGTTAAAAGGTCCTAGAAAGATTGGTTTCAGGTTTTGTCTTCGGGAAACTTTTGTGCTTATGGACTACCAAGAACTTTTGGATTAACATCAGCCTTAACAATGTAGATGCTTTTATATGGTTAAAATTTATTGGAAAAATCGACTAGAAACTTTTTCCCTGTTACTAAATTTTTCCAGGAATCGCCAAGAGGAAAAAACACAAAAAAACAAGTCAAGCTCTATCAAACAAAACTAATTGGTTGGGAAAAGGGGAGGAGTGTCTGATTGTAAATCACAGAACACAAAAGGAGAAGAAAAAACATTAAGCCTAACTCAAACCCAGGAGCTAACCCGTGAGGTAAGACTTGTCGAACACCATATAAAGAGACTGCAGCGTAGGTTCAACCAATGTGAGACTCTTAACACCCCAGGATTGTCTAAAACCATATAAAGAGACCATAACCCATGTTTTTTTGAACTAATGTGGGACTCTTACGTCGGGGAAAGAGACTGAGGAGGGGCTGGTTTCCAAACTATTGATATGGTCCCTCAAAAAGAAATTACATTTTGAGTAGGACTGAGATACAATGTAGGTCAAAACAGTCAAGATAGGGGGAGAACTTAGTAAAAGTGCACTCAATGATCTAATAGCCTCAGCAATTAAAGACAACGGAAATAACTTTTAAGGCATAAGTATGAAAAGAATGATGAGTTGAATCACTGAGAGAAGAACTTGAGACTTGCAGTAGAAGGAGTTGTCAAGTGACCATGATGTTAAAAATCAGCCCAGGCCCACGAACTACTACGAGAGATTAATGTTAACACGTCTGGTGTAGACATAGAGTTCAAAAAGAGCAAGGCCATTAGTACCATAGCGGCAACATAAAAGGCGATAAACTATAAATTATTCAAACTGGCCAAATGTACAATTTTTTTGAAGCTGTTTATTAAATTGGATAATAAGCCACCCCTCTACTCTTCTCCACTTAAATACCAGACTTGTCTAGAGCAGGGTTCGAACTCATGACGTGAGCCTAAACCCACATATCATGTGATGCGCTCTTAACACTAATGACTAGACCAAAGCCTTGGGGGCCTGGCCAAATGTATAATTCAAAGAACTGTATCTTTCACTTCTATAGGTGAAAATCAATGGTTGTGCTAATTAGGGCCTTTATCCCTTTGTCTTTAGCTTTCTATCCATATAAGGATATGTAACTCAGAATAATGTCAAACAGCTAAATAAAACCGCTCAATTCACACTAAATCCCCTATGAAAAAGAATTAGATACAAGTAATACCAGGATCACGTTTGAGAACACATAAGCCACCAGACAAAGTCAGCATTATAATGCAACAGGCTAGCAGCTAGCATACTAGACAAGATCATCCCATAGCTAATTGAAGAATTGGTCCATATACCAGGCAGCTTGAAAGCTTGCAAGAAAAGATATTCCAATGAAAAGATTTTGACATATTATTACATACAAATTTTGTTTCTTGCAGAGTCAATGCTCCACTTATTATTTATTTACTATGTGGAATGTCACCACAGCATAAATCTGACATGTCAATAAGAAAGATAAACTACTTCTTATCAAGCTTATTCCACAAAGTGAAGGACACAAGTTCAAAGCTGCTACATATTCGCTTCAGCACACTAAACAGTTCAGTTGGGGGCAGGGGTGTTTCCAATGAGCTCACAGATACAGCTCCATAACTGAGGTGGAGCAAAATACAACTCTACACAGATAATTATAGGAGCAAACATGAATGATCAACAAAACTCACTTGTTCATGGCCCCGTATCTTAAGATAACCTCTCAGTAATTCCCGTTTGTAATGGCAATCACCGCTAAGATGGCCAGCTCTGATCTGTAAAAGCAGTTACAAAGAATTCAAGTTCAATAATCGAAGACAACTCAAAAGTACAAGAATTAGTATAAAAGCGACACTTGAGAGCACGAACTTCACTACAAGCATGATGAGCGCAATTAGCCCAGTCCAAGTTTGCAGCACGACACTCATCATATGCATGAATTAACTCATGTATGAGAACTTGATTCACCTCATCTTGAATTTGCATGTGGTTACTGCACACAATTATCTTAATAGCCAAAAAGAAACAAGATCAGTAAATACTTGAGGATGTAAGACAACCAACACAATAAGGAAAACAAAGATAACCACACACACATATAGAGTCTGCATATTTTAAATAAATATTAATACAAAGCCCACATCCATCATCACACAGGAGAAGTTAGTGTAGAGGTGTAACTTCAATCCTGAATTCACCTTTGACACCCTATCTACTTCAAAAGGTGTCTGTCCTCCACTGACCCACAATGTTTCAATTGAATTTGGCAACTCCAAGACAGAAAAATTAGCACCACTGTATTTAGAACACAAGAAGAAATGTTCTTCAAATCCACAATAGGCAGAAACTTAAAATTGACCACCTCAACTTCTAATAGAAAAGTCCAGGAATAATAAATTATGTTGATTACCCCACGTCCACGAGCATAGCCGCCGCTGATCTTCTGGTCGCAATGGCTAGCTTTTATGAAGTTATCACCAATTCGACAACCAGATTTCTCCAGATGCTCTTTTAAGAACTTTACCATTGGAGCTGCAATAAAAATGCTTACAGTCAACATCATTCAATTACGCTGCAATCTTAAACTAGTTTGTATCAGCTATATGAATCAAGTGAATCCATTCTATTCAAGTCCATTTATTTCAATAGCATGTGAATTTATCTTATAAAGCTTTTGCTTTTATACAATGGTGCTGGATTAGCTTGCAGGTATTTATATGTGCCATCCCATAAGTTGACGCAATTTATCTTTTGAGCTAAATAAAAGTAGTAACGTAAGAATAAAACCAAAAACTAAGAATTAAAATTGAATGGGTGTTAACCACTGAATGTGAATCAAGAAAACTATCAGAGAAAGAGATAGAGAGATGTGAAGAACTTACTTCTAAGACCTCTCCGGATCATTTCTTGGCATTCCTCCACCGTACTTCCTTTGTTGATGGTGGATGACTTCGCCATTTGGTTGTTCGTGTTTCCTGGCTTCTCTCTGCAGAAGAGACATGGTAACAGGTTCACACTTTACAGGCCAACAAAATACCCTTTTGCCTGTCTCACAATCATTCAAGGGAAAAGTCTCAGTTTTATATGTCTCTCTCATGTCGCTAACCTCTTCCCTAAAACTTTATTTGTAACTTTGGTAAAGGTATTGCTGATAAATGCGTCATCGACTTCTTGTACATAAAGTGTATCAGCTCTTGCAAGTAGATTTGACAAGTATCCAACTGAAAGCTTTCTCCTCGTCCCCCATTTATTTTATTGCTTTCCTTCTCATAGTCCTCAGTTGTTGTTGTTTGATTCTTAAAGAGTATGAGTTGATTTTTAGTATAGTGTAGGAGATAGAACAATCATGGAATCTGTGTTCTGGATTGATCCAAAGTTAGAACACAAACTTAAGAATGAAACGCAATGGGAGTTGCTATGACAGATTTATGCCTCGGGCAATGATGATTTCCTCTAGGAATGGAATTATATCATATTGTTTCACACAAAATTGACTGCAACTCTAACTTGCCTTTAAGCACTAGAGTAACAACTATATTTCTTATACATTTCAATGCTAATAGGATTATCTCTGTGTCCTAGCAGCACATAGCAATGCTTATAGAGGTATCCCTTTTTCATTTTTTTCTGCATTTCAGTTTTCTTGCAGAAGTGGCAAAGAACAAACATTGTGTTTGAAAATAAAAAAAGAACAAGCAAAACGAATTTATGTATTCACCGCTATACGATTTTAGGAGACAAGACTATGACTATGAATGTGATACCAACTACGCCAATTACGATTTCTCTCCATTAAACTTGAAGCTAGTTTCTTAGTCAATCCTCTACTCTTCCTCTCAAGTATCAAACCTCGTTTATAAAGAATTCCTTTGAGCTAGACTTTCACTAAAAGGGTATCTAAAACTGCTCGATTTGGGGAGAAGAAACATATGATGGGAGTAGCTTCTTTTGGGGGGGGGGGGGGGGGGGGGGGATGGCAAGTACAGGAAGGAGGGAGATTGTAAAAGATACCTAAAGTATTTCTTTTTCTATACAACATGAAGTATTCCATTAGTTACAGGAAGAATCAGTTATCAAATACTAAAAAGGAATCAATTTAGGAAAGATAAAGGACTATTAATCCTCCACCTCAAAGAACAATGCCTACCTTGACCTAAAGCCCGAATTTAGTATTTTAGAGCATGGTTTTGGCCTTTTCTCCAATATAAAGCAATACACCCTACTCTTATTTATAGATGTATCTAATTCAACTGATAATCTAAACCACTAAATCGATATTGTTATAACAAACATAATGAACTAAAATGCTTTATCATGATTTTTATATTATTTTGCTTCACTTCCATTATTTCTTTTCTCGATCTACTTTTATATGCTTTTGCTTGAGCAAGGGTTCTATCTACTAGACTCTACTTGTGGGATTACACTGGAAATATTATTGTTGTTGTTAAACATAATGAACGAACTACACTAACAAACAGTAGTAGTAGCAATCAAATTATGGAAATAATCGTACCAAATGAAAAAAGAAAACCTACATCTCAAAATCCAAAAATAGCCTCTCTTTTTAAAAAAAAAACAGTGAGCATTTTTTTTAGAGAGAGAAAATCAAAGTGGAATAACGGCATGAAGAGGAGAAGAGAGAGTGAACTCACCGGAGAAGTTGCCGGCGTTGCTTTGATGACGGAAAATGACGAGAGGTTTTTGAGGGGTTTGAAAGGGATTTGGGGGTTCTGCAAATTTCCTCTCAAATGTACATTTTTTGCTCATCAAATATTCATGTTTTAGTGGGTTATACACTTCTACTTATTTTCATTAATTGGGTATTTTAGATTATTTTATTGTGATAGTAAAAGGAAAGCTCGAGTTGTGGGTAGCAATTGAGCTGATTGAGTTAAATTTGAACGAGTCATAATGAGGTAAGACAATAATTGGATCAAAATCAAATCCATTCAAATTTGCTTCGATCAAAATGAATTACATTACGGGTCAAGACCCAGCTCAATTCAATTTTTAGTAAATTTAATTATTTTATTTGTTCTTTTAAACTATTTTATTACGGCTCTATACAACATTACAAATTGAAACAAAAAAAAGTTTCTTAAAAATATTTTGATAGGAATTTTCATGAGTCAATTTGGGATACATGTCAAACCAATTTTTAATGGATAATGAAAGAGTGGGTTATGTAAACGGGTTGAACAGGTTGGGTTTATTTTGCCATGCCACCCCTAATATTAGTGTTTCAATAGTGTGGAACTCGATAGCTTGATTTAGGGTTTTTTCAATGCATATTGAATCAAGTAATGGAGCTTGAAGATCATTATCACCAACTTCAACTACAGATTCAACTATTCAACTCATTCGTCCAAACCTATTGCATTTGCAGTCGTATAAACAAACTCACTGCCCTTATAATGGAAATAAACACCAAGACTAGATTGTTGAGCACACCAACGCAATCACTAATTCTAGATTTTGAATGACACATCAAAACAAGAAGCGGGAATATAATCAAAGTCATTTAATTTCTAGCATCTGCCTCAAAAAAGTTTCCAAAAGTAAAATCAAGGTTTGTCAACTAGATCCATTACTAGACCAAAAAAAATACTTCCTAAAGTAAGCTCAAGGGATGCATAGAGAACAAGATTGTTTTCTTCTAATCAAATAGACTGAATCCCATATCCTCATCTTCTGATGCCTCTTTCTCCTCCTTCTTTTCTTCCTTCTTCTCCTCAGCAGGGGCTGCAGCAGCTCCACCGGCAGGGGCAGCAACTGCAACAGCACCACCACCAGAAGGTACTGAAGCCAACTTTTCTCTGCCAGCAGCAATCAGCTCTGTGATATCTTTGCCATCAACTTGAGACAAGAGCAGTTGAATTCTGTCATCATCAGCCTCAGCACCAACTGCAGACCACATCAACCACAAATGTGAGTGTGCAACAAACAACCAGCCACATTTAGCATGTGCACGGGTATAATAGTGTTACTGATAGAAGCAGAGAATTACAGATTATCAGCTCAAGACTTCTCCAAGAATTAACGACTGTAAAACAATGATTGTGCATTGCCTTGTACATGAAACTAAGACTAGATGCTATTCCTATCCAATGTATACATATGAGAGATACACCATAACACTATAATCTCACCATTGCAGGTTAATGGAAAACAATAACACCATGCTCACTTCTACCAAACTTAAAAAAGGAATACAGGGACTAGCAACACACTTGAAGTCTACCTCATTCATTAACAGCCTGGAAAGTATAGAGTAAATATGTTCAACTACATCAAATTTCATAGCACCAGCCGCACCCCAAAAGTAAAGACTTATTATTTGAAAAATTGAACCATTTAATACTACAACATTATTTTAAATATTTTTTCTGTAATTCTTAATAACGCAAATCTTATTTCAAGAAGGCAACAAAATCAATGTCAGGATTCATACATCTAAAACCCCTCCCTCTTTCTATTTGGATGTAAGGCATACTTAATCTTCAATCCCAGTCCACCTTAAGTAGCTTCTGGTACTCTCCGCACATAACAAAGCTTCAATTTTTATACCAATATATTACTCTATTGCCTGTGTTAGATGATTCTAGACAACTAATGGGTAAAACAAACAGCATACACTCACATTTTTCAAAGACCCGGTGGCCAAAAAGAACTGGCCCAAAGGTAAAATCTACTCACTAACAGTATGTATATGAACATTATTTGTTTAAGAAAAATTTTATATGCTAAACCCCATGCCCCAAATCCCCCTTACCCATGAATCACACAATGGCCTTTACCAGTTTGCTGCCTCAAACACACAACAAAGACTGAGAAACCAAGCTATTAGGGTTTTCGGTATATGGATCATCAATATACATTCTGCTCCATCCATACCCCCATTTCATTGTAATACTCAATAATTTAACATGTTTTCAAATAGTACATATATCTATCTCTCCATTTTGATATTCAATTAACATCCTGATTACACCATTTTATCAAAACATCACTTAAATTTAAACGGAAAAAAAAAACAAAAAGGGGTTAATTTTTTTACCACAACCGAGGATATTCTTCAAGTCTTTTGCTGAAGGTGACGCGTTACCACCCAAAACAGCCAACAAATAAGCAGCAATAACCTTCATTTCTTCTTCTTCTTCTTCTCTAACAGAAAACACGAGAAATATTAGATACATAAATTGAAAACACAATACGAAACGGCTAAAGTTATGAATCAAGAGAGAGCAATTACTGACGAGAATTGGAAGCTACGAGAAACTTCTTCAATGGTAGATTTGGGACAGCTACTAGGGTTTCGTAATGGTGAATAATGCGGCAATTTATACAGTTAGGGTTTTGGTAGGGCTAAGTGGAGGTGATTGCGGGTTGTTTGATTCGACCCGGAATATTACGTGAGTTTACATTTCTGCCCTTCCATTTTCTTCTGATTTCTAGATTGACTGTTTCTGCTTCTTTTTTGTAACAATTATTTTGTTCTATTTATTTACTAATATACAAAAATAAAAATATCTAGATTGATTAATATCTCTAGATTATGCTATTTTTATTAGTATATCTATTTAATTTTTTTTAAATAATCACTATAATAAATTTAATTAAGCTTCTTAATTTTAGTTTATATATTTACGGACGGTAGTTATAGTTTAAGTTCTTCATTTGTATAATTCATGTGTATTGAGTTGTTTCGTCCATATTTGTGTAAACTGATTAGCATCAATTTATTTGTATTCATTTTTGTATAAATTTAATTGAATCAATTGATAATTATAATTTTGGTGAATTAACTGTTTATGTAAATAAGTTATTTCTGGTTGTATAAACAGAATTTACTAATTTGCCATTTATATATTTTGTATAAGTATAATTATGTTGATAAACTTTTATACTTATATATTTTATATAAAGAAAATATACAATTAGAATAACTATATACGATTATGGATTTATACAAATATGAATACAACTGTAGATTTAAAATTGATTTTTTTTCTTCAGTAATACAAATTTCAAAATTATATAAATATTGATAAAACTCAAAAACAACAATTTATACAAACACAAACATCTATATTTTGAACAATAATACAAACTATATAATACTAATTACATTACATAAAAATTATACAAATTATGTTATACAAATTTCAAAAACTACACATTTATATAACTCAAACTTGACTGCGTAATTTTTCATCATGTAGGGAGGAAAGATACGTCTGTACTCAGCTACAAAATCTATTTATAAAATTATACAAATTTCAGAAACTACACGTTTATACAACTCAAACTTGATCGCGTAATAATACCTAAAAATTAGTGGTGAATGATAATTAATTCAAATTATTATTAACCAATTAACTAGTATAATATATTTACTTATCTGCATAATCTCCCATTTTTTTTATAAAAGGTATGACTAATTATAAATATGAGAACATGAAATAATAATGGGAAATTTTCATATATGGCAAACAGATTTTATGAAATAACATTCCATGGGTATAGTTTACATAATTACATTCCATGGGTATAGTTTAGTTTATTAGGTAGCTTTAAATTTCTATTAAACATTTTTTTTTTAATTTATACAATTTTTTACTTTTTTCAGTGAATGACAACAGTAGCGCTAAATACGGTAACAAAAATTTACATAATCCCATGATTTAAGCTAAACGTTCAAAATCAAATATTTTCCCAAAAAAAAATTCTATAGCGACAGAAAGACAATACCAATTTGTTTCCTCGCACGACTGAAGCAACAAATTAATATGAAAATTGTATATATGACATTTGTGCTTGTATCATAAAAAATAGTGTGATGTATTTTTTTCAAATTTTTGGTTTAGTCTGTTTGTATATATACTTGTGTAATGTTTGTATATTTTATCATGTTCGTATTTTGTTGTATATATCTATGAAATTGTATAAGTTACTATAATTTTGTATATGTGCATATGTGAAGTTTTGTTATTTTTTTTTATTATTGATTAAACTGATTGTATAAAATTTATCCGTCAGTTGTATATATGGTAATCGTGAATGATTCGATAAAAAGATAGTGCTGAAATCTGTTTGTATACAAGAATTGTGTACTGTCTATATACAAAAGAGTGTGTTGTAGTCTATTTGTATATATATCTCTTTAGTGTTTGTATATAATATCATGTTCATATCTTGTGTTTGCACATAAATCTAACTCCCTATACAAAAATGAAGATAAACAATATTTCAATAAAGTGCTATATATAATCACGATATTTTATACAAAACTAAAAATTTATATAAATAAACTGTATTTGTATTTGTAATTCCTTTGTATAAAAAATATACAATTGTCTCAATCAATATTGTATATAACTATTACTATACAACTAACACTATACATAACTTCAAATAATTTGTATATAGCTAGTTGAATATACAAATTACATTATACAATTGTAATTTAGACATGAAATTGTACTTATAATTCAAGTAACTTTTGTATAATTAACCAAATATACAAATAAGTAATTCCAGTAACTTTTGTATAACTAACCAAATATACAAACAGAAATAGGGAAAAAGCTGGGCAACATGAAATATTTGATATACATATGTCTATATACAAATATTATTTAATTAGAATACTTTATGTTATGTATATTTGCACATAAATAACGATATATACAACTATCTATCTAGAATTTTGTTTTAAGCCAACACCTGATGTTCCTGATGTTCTTCAGATTTATCCAGATCTGATGAAGCAGATTCAATGTCCTCTGAATCACTGTTTAAAATTTTTCTCATACTTCCTCCTTCAACAATTTTAATGCCGCTAGCCTTCGCAATGTTGATGACTTTTCGAATTTCGATTGGTTCATTTTTTTTCTTAGATCTCAATTCTTCAATAAATTTTTCAACTTGAACTTGTTTAGCTTTTGCCACAGATCCTGCATTGACCCCAAAATCTTGAGTTAATCCGATTGAAAACGATGATGGATTGTCAACAACTTTGACAAAGAATGGTGTACCTCTAGTAATCCTCACAGATGGAGAGGAATTTTCCATACTGTTGTTAATCTGATATGGAGAACAAATTTTTTAGAAAAAAATTATCAAAAAACTAACAAACAATACGTATACAATTGTTGAAAATGGAAAAAATAGATCCACCCATGATTTTGGCGGTTACCTGCGAAAAGTGAAAATATGATTGAGGGGAGAATGTGGAATTTGAAATTCAACTTAGAAGTGGAAGAGTGATTTTAGGAGAAAAATACGGAATGAGGATAGGAGAGATAAAAAAAAATTACATAAAATTTTATAGAAAAGCAACGTCTTTGTTGATTCAATATACAAAGAGGTGATGGATCCCAATAATTAAGGCCAAAATTTGAAACTATATTTACTAAATAAATCAAACTATACCCTTATTAACTAATAACTGAGGGATGTTTGCAATCTCATGTAATTTTCCCAATAATATATACATGGACAAAAAAACTACTAAATGTCAAACATAAACTTCAAGCAACTTTTTTCTTTGTTAAAAGGTAAAAAGATTACATCTAAGTATCTACATTATAAATAAAGTAATCCACATAAAAGGATAATTCCAGTACCCATACCTTTTGTTAATCTAATTTTTTTACAAAATTGCCAGCAAATACATCAACTTTATATATTTAAATGTAATAATATACATACCTACACATACAATATACATGATACATAATCAATATAGAAATATATTTCAACCATATTAGTAAATAAGTTCATATCAAACTGTACATGTTGATAAGTTCCTGAAATAGGAGCAACCACTATATAATAACATGTCAAAAGGGCCACAAAATGCAAGAAATGTTTCGGAGTAAAGAAAGAACATGTATTCGTGTACTTCGAACGATGTTACGGAGATCGTAGTTGCTGCAGCATGAATTTACAGATGAAAAGGGAACATATTTACATTCATATGAACGTCAACAAAACAAGGCCATTGCCTTCTTTACACTAGCAAAAACTACTTTTTAAGTCCACACAAGAAGATCGCAAACAAAATATAGCATGTACAGCCATTGTCTAGTCCATTTTCCACTATTGCCCGGGTTCAGCTGTATCGTATACTGCATCCTGCTCGTCGAATTTTACCGCCACCAAGTACCTTATACTCACCTTGATAACAAAAAAAGAACAGAAAAATGTCAACAAAGGGATAGTCTGCCTGATTTGGATTCACCTTATACGCACCGCCATAAAAAGGGAAAACAGATCCAACTACTAATAATATAACACACATCGTTGACAATTTTCTACAATGTCATTGTATATAAATGTTTGTACTAAAGTTTTTATATGAAGTACCTGTTGTGGATCATAGACGGCATATTCATTGTACTCGAGGACACTGTCCTTATGCTCCGATGGAATCAGCTTACCGCACGGTACCTTAATATCATCCTTCCAGACAAAATGTTCTTTCTCGTCGGTTTTCTTCCTTCCAAGTCCTTTTACTCCAACTTTCTTCTCTTCCAACGCTCGAGTATCCTGAATGGTAAATCAGACCATCAGATCAACAACTACAAACTAACATTCGAGTGCGTATATGCATATTTCTTCTTCCAACGGTCTCTTTGCTACCTCGGGAGGGCTCGGAAGCTCCTTAATTTCTTCTCCGAGTGAAGCAACGGCTAAAACCAAGAAACCTTCTGGCCTGTCTACAGCTGTGAAACCATATCTTGCTGCTTCCGCTGCTGCATCCGAGCAAACGATGGCTCTTCCAAACTGAATGCATATATTAGCAGTGAGTACACATGTAGACTAAAAAATAGTTCGTAGTAAATGAATTTCTGTACCATGTATCCCGATACGGGAAGTGAACAAACTGAAGGCAAGAAACCTTTCTGCAGGTGCCTCAAAAGATTCGAACTCCTCGTACCTGAGGTCAATATAATGTGATCGACAATAACATTCATCGTTGTGAAACAACGCTCAACCGAGAATTATATGCCAACGAGATATTACTTACCACACCAGAGAAGAACTTTGTTAGGTAATTCCTTGATCTCATCAAGGGAAGGGCAAGCACTAACTTCAACGGCAAATATATTCTCAACCGATACACCATAGCTCTGGTGAAACATGAAATTTTAGATCACACCTACGGTTCACAATTTTGAAAGAGGATTGGAAATGAACATAAATAGATCTTACCATATCTCCAACTTGGACCGGCTCGTAAGTTTTCTCCAAGTAGTTCACTATCATTTTGTAGTCATCAGATTCTTTCTCCAAGGGAGAAACTGAACAGAGGAGTTTCTTGTAACACTCAAAGAGAGGATCATCAAGCGTAGATCCAGACATGTCTTCTATAATACGCGAGGCAAAGTTGATGTCCCGAATAGTTTCATAGGCAGATGCAGCCTTGATTATTTTCAAACAGTAAGTTAAAACACCTTAATATATAATGCGAAAGATTTAGAGGAAATGACATTTACATGCTCTGCGAGATCGGCATAATCCCTGAAAGTAAAAGGCCTCGTAGATGGCATGAGAGTGAACCACATTTGACTGAACTCATACCAGACACCCTCTGCTTTCGGTCCTGTTTCCTTCATTGATTTTATTTTCTCCACGAAGTGTAGGAGAATTTCTTCACCTGTAGAGTTAAAAGTAAATGAATCTTTTGAATGTTTATCACCGATACGAAATGCACTATAGGCAGAGAGAAGACTTACATCTTCTCAAATGAAGATTAGTAAGCATCCCTATAGGAATTTCCGGTGAATCGTGTCCCAGCTCCATTAAAGCATACCTTCATCCAGCATACAACACTTAATAAGTTCATTTCACACGTAAGGATAAGACGGGAACAGCTTGCAACCTGAACGGCGTTAATACCTGTATATCTCTTGGCTACAAAGGACTTTCATGAAATTTGCTACTACCGAATCAAGCTTACTATGTGCAGCAGCAGAACCAAGTTGCCTTAGGCCAAGCGCTCCATGCCTAACCTCTATTCCGTCATCCTACAAAGTTAAACCATGTTTTAGTTGTCTAGCAAATGCTATGTAAGTGTACCTCGAAGAACAAATAATTTAAGTTGTGACGTACGATATCAGTAGGGTAAAACTTGTGATGCTTTTTGTGAATCTTCTTTTCCCTTTCCCAGGGTTCGAACTCATTTCCAGTCATCTCTTCAAAGAGCCTAGCGAACTCCTTAATCGCATCATCGACATTTTCCCACTCCTCTAGCTTGTCGTCTGCTCTTAAGCTATCACCATTTCTGCCCCTTCTATAATACATATGCAAACGATTCTCCGATGACATGATAAGTTGCATAATACAGAAGCTGCATCAATTTGAAGAATCACTTCATCAGCACCTGAAGAAATACTAAGAACTCGAAAAAACTAGGGAGACTTTCGAGCATTACTCGTTGAGTTTGTTCTTTTGGTTGCAAACAGACAGTGCACAGTTATACAATAAGCCATCTTTCTCCAATATTCTTGTGCCTTCGTCCTGCATCTTAGCGTCTTTGTGTACCCCTCTTTTTCCAAACACTTTAAGCTACAATAAATAAAAGACTATATTTGAAGCAAACACCAAGATTTAAGTAGCAAATGAGAAAAAGAGGGGGGAGTATACCTCGGCTGTTACGGTTTCGAGTGCCTCTGCACTTGGATCCATCTTATCAAGGGGAATACCTTTACCTTCTACAGCAATGTCACTGGCAACGTCGTATGCATCTAAAGGCTGAGCTTCTTCCATTTCTATACTATCACTCAACCAAGCCTCCCTCACTACCGGTATACCCTTCTCCCTGAGAAACAACAATATCTCACATCAGAGGCGGATGCAACATAAACTCACGTGTTCAATTGAACCCATAATCGCAAAAGCACGATGATTTCAACCGTAAAAGCATAAAAATTGGTAAGTAGAAGTCATCGAAGTTCAAATCCTGTATCCACCTCTGCTCGAGGTTAGAATATAAAAAGCCATTTTTATTAATCCAATTAATGTAGTGTCAATTAAATATACATACAAAGCTTCAGCTACTTTGGATGAGCCACCACGATCACGTTCAGCGGGAGAAACTACTACGCAAGCAACCCCTGCAAGAGGGAACACTTTTAGTTCCTACACAACTGGAGAAGTAAATTTCATAAGAAAATTACACTGAACAGTTACCAGTGACAGAGTTGTTCACTTTTCCACCAAATTTCTCAATTTTCGATTTCCAGTATTGCTGTGCACAAAAAACTTTAATAGCAACATAAACATACACAAAAATGAAGCCAAATTCATCTGAAGTACTAAAGTGCGTACGTGTTTTCGAGTAAGACGACCAGCTAGAGATATCATCATTCCATCAAATGGCTTCCTTGGGGCAGATATTTCCTTTCGGGGGCGACTCTTGTTGGGGTTTCCCCGTTTCTTGATCAGCTATGAGAACATACATAGATAGTCAAATTTCTTTTTTCTCCTTTCATCCATCTTGCAACAAGAAATGTATTAAAGCGAATTAGTTTTAAGACATTACATCAGATACTGGAGTACTTTCAACAGATTTAGGGAGTTTGAGAGACTCTCCTCTTCTCGGTGGTTCCTTGGTGCTATAAATACAACTCGACCACTCACTATAATCTCCAACGCAATGATAACCATCGCCAGAGCATTCCAAATTGCCACCACAAATAGGACAATTGTCCAGTGGCCCGAAAAACATTATGTCTTGACTGTACAAGAGAAGGCGAGTGGATGAGTAAGGAAGAATCACAATAAACCTCACATGAAACAACAGCAACTACTACGCCTCAATTTCAAGGTCAGCTATACACAATCCCAGGTCCGGTCGCTCAATTCTAGTACAATATTAATATACAATGTATACACCCCGTTTCTACTTATGTAGCAGGACTCGGGACTACAAGGGCCAAACTGCAAAACTTTCGGTGTGATTTCAAATACAGATTTTTTAAAACTAAATTTACATATTTAGAAACTATACAATAGTTGATGATTCAAAAAAACTCGGAAAGGATAATTGCTATAGAACAACCACTTCTTTCAACTCCGTGGGGCGTGGACAGTAACAATGCCACACACAAATGAATCAGAGTGAATAATATTCATCACCTCAATATAGTATATTATGATGCAATAAAGATTTTTAACAAACTGGATTAACTTACCATCTAGGAACAACAGCATCATCTTCACCTTTAGAATACTGGCCATTTGCTTCAAGGATTTCGTGCATTTGCTTGACGGAGAGATGTTCGGTTATAGTCTTACAGAACTTCTCAAACTCTGCTCGGATTCCATCTTCGTGATCAGTACCTTCTTCTTCTTCAGTTTTTGCCTTTTTGTGTGAGGCTGACTCTTGGCTGTTGCTCTCTGCCTGCTGCTTCCTCATCACCTTTCTCTCTTCACTTGCCGAGTGCGCTTGAGATCGGGTCTCATGAACCTCCACATACATAAAATGCATAAAGTGAGTGGTGGAGCAGATATTTTACCAATGAGTATCAAAATATAAAAAAGTAGACACGCACATAAAAGATAAGGGGAGTCGACCTATCGCATTTATACATAATATTAAAATTTTAACCTAGTTAAACAATATAATTTCTCAGCGAAGGGGTGTCCCACGTCTTGGCTACTTGATAAAGTACAATAGTACTTTTTATCAACACATTTTCGAGTTTGACCTTTGCTAACATCTAGCCGATCCCAACTTGTTAGCAACAAAAGCATACTGTTAGTTGTAGTAACTAAAGGCACCTACCCATAATAAGTGAAATTACTGATGAACTACCTGCTACAACATATTAGATCACAGTTCACACAGCTGGTGTGTAAATATTCCGCTGTCGGCATATATAAGTTATATCCTCGAGAGTTCTTAAGCCAATCTATATACTTATATAGAGCAAAGAAACGTTCACCGAAATTCTCACACACAAATTAAAATATTCAAAATCAACTAATTAACTCCACAACCCACTAATAGGACCACATTAACACCATCACTAGCCTGATTTATGATTATTACTTCCCATATCCAGTACTCCATTGCTTTCCATTTATGTGTCCTGATTCAGAGTCGAAACTAAATAATTTCCAGTGTAAATTTGGATATAGAATCTTCAACCTTGTTGAAATAAACTTCTCACATTTAGAAACTACATAAAAAGTAGTACTCCTTCCGTTTCAACCCTTATACCAACCAAAAATTGATGTCCATTTTAGCAAATCTACAGAGTTCTAGTACTTCTTTTTTCCATACTACCTTAGTACTCCTCCGTCCATTTTTAATTGTCATGGTTTCTTTTTTTAGAGTCAAACTATAAGAACTTTGACTAACATTTTATAATATATATTTTCATCATATTGATAGGCAAGAAATTGCAATTACTTTTCGTATAGTTTTTGAATATTAAATTTTTTTTTTTAAAACATCGAATTAATGTGATCTAATTTAACTCTGAAAGTTAGTCAAATTGACTTTTGAAAAGCGCAACATGACAAATAAAAATGGACGGACGTAGTATCATATAACACCAAAAAATATATTTCATTTTCCTTGCCCCTCTCCTTTTTAGTATGTCCAAAAAGGACACATTTCTATACTTAGTAATAAAACTTTAAAATACTCATTTTAAACTTAATGAATTGATTTCTTGCCACACAATTATCTCTTAGACTTATTTTAGATCACAAGTTTCAAAAGTCTTTCTTTTTTTCTTAAACCTCGTGTCACTTACAAAATAGGCCTAAGCCTATGCCAACAGACTCATGACATCACAAAGTCCTAACTCCTTTTTTCGAAAGAAAGGCGGGATCCATCAAACTAACTCATACAAATTGGGAACGGGACAGAGGGAGTAGTACTAGCTAGTCAAGTTTAAATTCCCAAAGTATCAATAGTTCAGTAAAATAGAAGTCTTGGTCAAAGGAAGACATCCTTTGATTCTACTCTCCAAAGTGTACCACCACCACCACCATCAAAATAATACCAAGTGTGGGGTGTGGGTAAGGATACGCAAATTTTACCCCAACCCTATTTTCGATTAGGGTTGGCTCATGAAAAAAAACAATCCAAAGCAGTCCAACAAGAAAAGTAACAAAATCACAAGAAATAACAGTTAATAACCAAACAAAAAATAGACAGTAACAAAACAATAGTTACAACAAAGCAATACGCTTTACTAAACTATGCACTAAACTACATCCACAAATTAACAAAAATAAACACATGCATATATAGTATTTTGCTACCATAATTTTGATAACAATTAATCCTCTTAACATCGAAAACCAATTTGAGTTAGTAAAACCAAAACTCCTCAAACAAATTAAAAGTAAGATCAACTAATTACAAACAAAAGGTTACAACAAATTAAATTAAACTTTGTATTAGAAACCATAAGAGTGTATATATATACTATAGCTAAGAACTAACCTTCATTTTTGATTGAGGAGTACTTTGCCTCTAAAAAAAAGATTTGTGGAAATTTGTATATAGATATATATAATATATAGTTTGAAAATTAGAAGAGAAGTGAATTTTTTTTTTTAACTTGGTATAATTTTACATAGTAAGCTAGTAGGTTGACACGTGTAATAACAAAAACTCTCAATGCTTGACACGACTCATTTCTCTTTTTAACTATAGCGGCACCTACTTAGCTGTTACAATTACATTTTATTTATATTGGTGTTCGACTAATTAAAATTTACGTGAAATATATAGAATTGATTTGGATATTACACTTTCTATCAAAGATTTTGTATATTTAAAGCTATAAATCTAAAAAATTTAATTATGAAAAAGCAGTCTCTCATCTTTTTATGAAAGCATTCTTTTTTTAAAAATAAATATTTTTAAATCCTGAGAATTTTGACCAAATAAATTATAAATTTGAAATTTTTTAATGGGAAAAAGGATAAATATACCCCAAACTATCGTAAATGGTATGTAGATACCTTCTCTCATACTTTTGGGACATTGGTGCCCCTGCCGTCCAAAAACTAGAGCATATATACCCTTTATACTAACAGACATACACGGTCATAATCTTATCCACCGACCCGATATTTATTAAATATCTGATTGACGGATAAGATTGTGTCACGTGTTCCTATTTAGTCTTCCGTTAGAGTGAAGCGTATATATATTTTGGTTTTTGGACGGCAGGGTTACTAATGTCCCAAAAATACGGAGGATATCTGCATATCATTTACGTTAGTTCAGGGGTATATTTATCCATTTTCCCTTTTTTAATTAAAGGCAAGGATTGCATTTATTCCCTCTAGGTTGCTAAATGAGGTGGGGAGGGGTGGTTCAAGGCTGAAATGGTCAAGAATGAAAATAGGGGATATTAAATGGAAATAGAAAAAACAATAAATTTGAAATATCACTTTTTTTTTATGTAACTTGTAAGTCATTTTCTCTCTATTTTAAAGGAATTTATTTTTCTAACCATACATAAAAAAAATTAAAAATATTCTCTACCATACCAAACACTAGTAACTTCAAATTTGGAATTTAAATATTAGAGCTTGAGGATACTTTTGCAAGAGGTATACTCCCATTCATCACTTGCTTCTTCTAAATATATGTGTGTTATAACTACTTACAAAAATTGGAAACTTGTTACAATTAGTCCTCTCATGCTCACTTCATTACTTTGGAACTTTCACAAGTTTAGAAAAATACAAGTAAAGCAGACTAGATTTTATCTTACGAATTTGAATGAGATTGGACGCTTATATTATTACTAGCAAGTATATAAAAAAACAATAACTTGAAAGACTCGAATACTCTATGATTGTCACAATATTTTAAAAAAATATCATTTATTTTTAAATTGATAAAAAAAAATATCACATAAATTCAAACAAACTAAAATATATTTTTGTTGCTCACAAGTCCTGAGTTTTTTATTCTGCAGGGATCTCTAGTTCCAAGATACTACAAATTGTTTTTTTTTTTTTTGCAGTTTTGTGGAGTGGAGTGGAGTACCACTTTTAAATTGGACACTCTCGAATGACGCATAACGTATGTCTTGCCCAATTTAATTCTGTGACTAGGTTCATACTCATATATTTGTGTATAAATAATTTATTTATAAAATTATTGGGTATATGTAAATTTCGTACTATCTCCACCGTTAGTTAGAGTGGTTTAGAGACAAATTTTGAATATTTGAAATGTAAATTCAGTGATATTATACGTGAAGTTGTGTGGAAGTGAGGCTTGATGCTCAGATCAACCCCAAAGGAGAGTGTTTTAAGTATACGGAGTCTTAATTCAAGATAATAGGGAGATCAACTATAAGGTGGCATATCGTATTGGTGTGGAATAGGTGAAATAGAGGTTCGTCTTTGGAGTGTTGTGTGATAAGAAGGTATCGCCAAAACTTAACGGTAAGTTTCATAGAGCGATGGATTGATCGATTATGTTGCATGAGATGGAATGTTAGCCAGTTAAAAACTCTTACGTTCAGAAGATGAAAGTTGCATAAATGAAGATGCTAAAGTGGACGTGTGACATATTAGGAGAGATAAGATTAGAAATAAATTGCCTAGGGCAAGGTGGGAGTGAAACTGATAAGGGAAGCGAAACTAACAAGGTTTGGACATGTGAAAAGGAAAAGTGTAAATGCCACAATGAACAAGTGTGAGAGGTTGATAATATGGGCTTCAGGAGATCAAGTAATGCACATTGAGTAAGTATCGAGGAAAAGTAATTAAACAAAATATGACACGTCTTGAACTTATCGAGGAAAGTGAATAGGAATTATTTGTTTTTCTTATTAAAAATATTAAAACATTATTTATCTACACAAAGTTATCTTATTTTCGTCAAATGTCTCTTTAGTAGTAACTCTTCATAAAAAAATGTTATTTTCTGTGGTAGATAAGTATTACTCATGTTCAAATTTACTTTTTTTCTTGAATTAAAGTCCGATCAATAAATATTGTACTTTTTAAATATAACTTTGTGATAATGTAATATACTTTTCTTATAAACTTTTGCTTATTTGATAAGATTATATAAAGAATTAAAACAATTTTAATAGTTTCCACGACTTATGAGATCTTTTATGTTTATAAATAAAAAATACAAATTAAAAAACAAAATACATGTATAATTTTCTATTTAAGATTACATTTCTCTATATTTTCACTGAATTTCTTGCTCCTCCCGATATTCAACAATTGAAAGACTCTAAAGCTCCTGATAATTAAAGTAAACACCAGAAACTGAACTTCAGAAAAAGACATAAAGCTATATTTTTATTTATTAGTATAGAGTTTTGAGTTCTCCTCCTAATTCTCTTAAAGTTTATGTTGTTTGGTTCAATTTGCAATTATTATTTCTTATTTTTCACTAACAGAAATTGAGATTACTTGTTGCGTTAGCACTTTTCTTTTATTTGTATTATATTGGATTTCTTCTACTGGTTTTATGTGTCTTATTTGACATAAAACAATTGCTCTATATATTATTTGATGAATTGTAATTTTTAGTATTGTGATAAAATGATGTTCACATCGTTATGGATCGTAATTGGATGATTGAGATTTCCCCGTTCTTAATTAGAGGTCTTAATTCAAATTAATAGTGTACGAAAAAAATACCCTTGGGAGTGCCGCCTCCAGAAATAGACCATGTAATGGGCGAGTAAGGAATTGACACCTGGTGGGAAAGAAAAATAAAAAGATGATGTTCAATATTTTGTAGTTATTCTTGAGCTTCAAAATTTTCTAAAAATATTTGGGGCTTTTGCATGTTTGAAATGCTTATTTGATTTTTAAGTTTATTTAGTAAAGAATAATGGTGAATTTGCTTTGTTGAAGGTTAATTTGGACTAGTAAGACCAACTGATTGGATGGAGGTTTTCGAGTTTGTATCTCGAGTTAGAAGCAGATCCAGGATTTAAACTTGATGCTTTCTAACTTTTGAGGTTCTTACCTTAACACATTGTATTTGTAATTGTTAGTATTGTGTCGAAAATACTGAGTTCAGTTGAGCCCTGAAAAAGAGAAGAAGAAGAAAAAGAAAAAAAATACACTCATACACTAAGTTTAGTGATTTTTTTCATTTATCCTAGCTAGTTTTGGTGGACAAAGTTACCAGATACCTATTGCTGGTAGGAGCTGATAAGTATCTCGTGTTATTAATTGAGGAATTCATAAGCTTACCCGTACACTACGGTTATAAAATAAAAAGTTTGGTTTACTAAGCTCAAGTTTCTGTCAACGCTTCATGGTTGAGTTTTTTTTCTTTCTTGACATATCTGTAATAGTGTTCTGTATCTAGCATTACACAATGCACTAGTGCAGCACCAGCTATGAGCTACTCAACAACAGTATAACACGAGAAAGGTAAACGTCTATTGATTAACATTGAGCTATTACGCAGCTTTTAGGGAATGTAAATAGCAGAAAGCAATAGAGTTACTGAGGGACAAAGGAAAGAAAAATGTGTTTTTGGGATGCAGAACAATTGAGATATGCTTAACTTAAGGTGTGTGGAATAGGAAAATGAAGAACAACATTCAATTTCTATGGATCTTAGGTGCTTGAATTGTATATCGTTCTAAATGACCTTATCCGCTTTTGTGTTGTTCAAAATAGAAATAGAAACCTCAATAAGTTCTGTATTATCATGTAGTTATGACTGATGCACCGAGTATTTATACAGGTCGTAGGCTGGAGTTGACCCTGCATTTCCTTTTCTCGTAATCCTGCTAAACTGTCAGTAGAGGACTTGAGTCGACTAGACCAGCAGACATAACATTGTTATTTTCCAATCTATGGTATCAGATCAAAATACATTGTTTGTTGCCTGCTCTACATAACATTGATGTAAAGTTTATTGTGTTCGTAGAAAGGAGTGATAGTTAGCATCTCCTCAGACAGGGACGGGAACAGCCTTTAGGCTTACCCTGTTACCAGACACATCTGGTTAAGGCTACTCGCTTCGGTGGATCTTACCTAATTCTTTTGGTTATCAAAAATGTAAAGTAAAGTGGTCTCTCTCATTGACATAAGTAATCCTGCCAAAACCTCACAATTTGGTTAGTTTCTAGTTGATAGTAAATTTTGGTTCCTTGGTCCATAGAGTTACCCAAAACTGTATTGGTGGGAGGTAGCAGGTACCAGATGTAACAGTCTAGTTGCACACACCACCATTATTCGAGAAAATTGGGAGTCTGATTCTATCATCTAGAAGCTGATTCGGAACTTGTGCTTATATGAATGTGATATTTTCTGACCCCTTTTGTCCTCCATATGTTGGCAAGATAATCTACGATAGGTGGTCATCGTTTACCAACCGTTGTAGACTAACAATTAAGTGCTTAATTCTTGATTTTTGATGAAATTTGACCTCACAAGTAATGTGGAATGCAAAAGTTAGAACATGGTTAGTTTTTATACAACTTATAGTTATAGATCAAGATTATAATAAGAGATTTATAAGTATGCAATATAATCAATAAACATTTGGTTGGCTTTATATACTTATTCCTCCTTCACTACATCAAAAAAATATGCTCAGAAAGCACTATATATAAATCTCTCAATTCATACTTCTCTTTCACCATATCTTGTAAACCTTTGTTTTCTTTTTTAGTTGTCCCGATACTTTGACATTGATCGCGTCTGCATCTTCTACAGAACACACAACAAATTGGTTGAGTCCTAATGCTGGTGGTGTAAAAGATGTTTTCGGTTGAGAACTTATAACAGAAATGGTTATAAAGTCTACGAAAAAGGGGTGTGACAGTCAGGAGGTAAATTTAGGTGTATAGAGTGGTGTGTCCTCGCCAAGCAAAAGAGACTTTAAGATGGCTTCACAGACCGCGGTATCATAGATCAACAAATGTCCACCATCGTGAACTTCGTGATATTGAATCCAAGGTAACCTTTCTGAGACATGTCTTTGTAGTTTCAAATTGATAAATCTGTCTTCACACCCATGCCAGATGTGAACAGGACGTTTATCGTTTTCAGAAAAAGGATTGCTAAGCTCCAAAGGATCAAAATCCCATTTACTAAACGCCACAAGGAAGTCACTACGGAGGTTGTTGAAAACACTTCTGCTCTTTAGCTTGTCCTGAAGATGGAAAACATACAAGTTAAAATAACACTTTCAATTTTTTTTTGCAGGAAATGGTGAGCCGGCCTCTACTTGCTTGGGATTAAGACGTAGTTACTGTTATTGACCTTACCGCGGTAAGAAATTGAAATCCAGGTGCATTCTTCAAAAGCTCCAAGTCCTTGTCTGTAAAGTATGTAGGTTTTGTACCATCGGTAGAGGAGGATTGAGACATTTTTCGATTTATCCACCAATGCAATAACTTAGGAGCATATCTTGCAACCAAAGTCATCCTTTTGTACCACTTCTTCCTTTCATCGTCCTTTAATACAGATTCTGGTAGAGAAGGCCATTGGTAATTGACAATGGGAGCCACAAATGCCACCCCTACTAACCTACCAAGTTCGAAAAATAGAAGACATGAATTTGCAACAACAACAACAAACAAACAAAGCCAGTGTAATCTCACAAGTGGAGTCTGAGGAGGGTGGTGCATACGTAGCCTTACACTTATCTTGTGAAGATAGAGAGACTGTTTCTCATAGACCCTCAACTCAAAAACATGAATTTACAACAACAACAACAAATCCAGTCTAATCTCACAAGTGGATCCTGGGGAAGGTGGTGTGTACGTTGCCTTGCTCTTACACCTTGTGAAGGTAGAGAGACCGTTTCTGATAGACCCTCGGCTCAAGCTTTTGACATTTTGTTCATTCAAGTTTCATGTTATCTCTTTATCTATACAATTTAGACTATAAGTTTATCGTTGAATGAACTGCATTGCTGATATCGATCACAATAAAAGCACGATACGATGATTCAATAAATGTTACCTATGTGATAGGTGTTTGATGCAACTCCAGGTTGGGTAAGATCCCATGGAGAAACCAATTATGTAGAATTTGGATCCCAATTCCAAGTAATTTGCTAATTCTTCAATATCTGATGCTTCACTCCTTAACGATCGTTTCGGATTAGGATCACTTCCTCCATATCCAGCTCGATCGAATTGAACTATATAAACTCCCATCGTGTTCATAAATTCCTGTCGAAAATTCTCAAAAAAATAACTACATATATCGAAAAGGTTGGATTATGACTCGTTTGTTGAACATGTTGAATTATGATTCGTTTGTTGACTTGACCAAATAGATTGAACAAGAAATGATCCATCAAACTATTGGATCAAAATAGTTTCAACTCAAACTCAAATATATTGAAATCGAAAATTTAATAGAAAGAAAACATATACTATACACTTTCCTTTTAATTTTCTTTAACAAAAATTGAAAAGAAGGAAAAATTGGGTTATATTGAGCGGGTTGAACTATAACTCATTCATTCAGACAAATTTTGAACGAGTTGAGTCATAACCCCATTGTTGATTTGTGTTTTTCGTTCAAATTTAATTCAACCCACACATGAAAAACACAATTGCATAAATTTGAAATAATTTAAACTAATAATTTAAGAGAAAAAACATACACTTTCCACTCTTTTTTTTCTTTTAAAAAAGAAAATTTGGGTTACAGTGGTCATATTGAATTATAATTCATTTATTCAATACACATGATCTTCACCCAAATAATAAATTTCTAACGAATTGAGTCATGACCCATTGTTTAATTTCATCTGTTTCCGCTCAAATTCAATATAATCCGCTCATTTAACAATTATGTTCTACAACATATCAAGAAATTATGTTGAATTATGACTTTTAATCTTCACCCAAATAATAAATTTCGAGCAAATTGAGTCATGACCCACTCAAATTTAATTCAACCCGCTCATCTAACAATTATGCTCCACAACATATCAAGAAGTCATGTTGAGTTACGACTTATTTATGATCTTCACCCAAATAATAAATTTCGAGCAAATTGAGTCATGACCCACTCAAATTTAATTCAACCCGCCCATGTAACAATTATTCTCCACAACATATCAAGAAGTTATGTTGAATTATGACTTATTTATGATCTTCACCCAAAGAATAAATTTCGAGCGAATTGAGTCATGACCTACTCAAATTTAATTCAACCCGTCTATTTAACAATTCTGTTCAACAACATATGAAGAAGTTATGTTAGATTATAATTTACCTGGGGTGCAAGAAAATCCCTTTCTTTGGAGCTGTCAAATCCATGAATAAATATAATTCTGTAATTTGATTTTTCCTTTGGAACACCTCTTTCTTTGTAAGATAATTTTCTTCCATCAATTAATTTGAAATTTGATGAACTATTAGGTTTAGTTTCTGCAGAAACCATTATGAAAAAAAAATGAAAGAAAAAAATATATAAATGAGAGTTGTTTTTTTTTCCAGAGATCTGTTCATAATTTTATACGAGAAAAAACAACCCTTTTTTGGTCAACCATTTGGCCCTTTTTTAACAAAGAAAGTTCCTTTTGTAAAACTCTAAAAATACTCCTCCTTTTTTGTCCCTATATATGTGGTATCAGGTATGGTACTGTTTGAATTTTGAGATTTAATTTAGTTTTAAATTTATATCTCATTTTTTTTAATAACTGTTGTGTTCGAATCAGCTTTTTCGCACTTTGATTAATTTGTCCATCAAAATTAAAAAATATGACAAATAGTAAGAATCACCTAGTGTAATTTGTATGCTAAGAAAGAGAGAATATTATTGTTGTTTTTGAATTTCAAAGGTTAAAACTTTTTAATTTTGATCGTGAATCTGTATATTATTTTTTAAGCTTTTTAAAAATGAAAATCTATGATAATTTTTTTTTAGTCTGTCCCGAAAAAAATTGTGGAAATAATTTAATTTAAAATATATATTTCAAAAGTCTTCCTTTTTTCTAAAATTTTGTGCTTGATAAAATTGTGCTATATTATAATGAAAAAATAATACTATAAATTATAATAATTATTTTTTATTTTTTTATGGTTGAGGGGGGGTGGGTATGGATTCCTTGAAAAGGAAACTTCATATTGTTTTTCCTTTTTATTTTTTTAAGGTAGGGTTGGTAAGGAGATTTTTTGGGCCACCAACTAATTCAATAAATTTTGCTTTAAAATGTTTGGAGAAAATTACGGCGCAGAATATTGCTATTTACTACATGAGGAAAATATGTGCATAATCTTGAAATATACAAAATTAAAATTGAAATTAAGTTAAAAAAAATAAATGAAAAGAGAATTTCGTTTTTCCCAATAATTTAGCTATTCTAGTTGTGGAAATTTTATTGTGCTATATTTACGGTTGTTTGACCTGTATATTTACATAAGAATCTTTTTTTTTTTTTTAAATAATATATTTTTTACTTTTTTTTAATAGATTAGTGTTGACTTGGCAGTTCGTTTAAGGGAGAATTTATTGTATTAAATTAATTTTATTAATTGTACTCTGGAAATCTAAATTTGATCACTAGTAATTTATATAAGTTTTTTTTCATTCAATATTGATATTAGAGCCTTGATTAATTTAAATTTGTGTATTGTAAGACTTATTTTTTGAGACGACGCTTTAAAGATAATTTTATTTTCTTATTCAAAACTCGAATTCGAGATCTTTTAAATAAGAATAGAGGAATCTCATTCATCCTGCTACGATCTATGTTGATTATTTTGTTCTTTTCTGAGACAATGAAACAATTATTTTAATTAAAGAAAACATAAACATCATTTCTTCTGTATACCCTAACTTATTTTTTAATGTTTCCAATATTTTATGAAAGTACATGAAAAACTTGAAGACTTGAGTCAATCCCCTTTGGTTATAATATGACAGTAAAAGAATTTTAAAATTCTAGGGAACTAAACAGGATAATAACCAGTACTATAAAATAATATATTTTTTTCATTGATATTTCATTTTTTAAAAGAAAAACTTTATTATTTTCAGAGATTTAATTTAAATTGTATTGGTGAGAAAAGAAAATTGTTCAATGATTATTTTCTGAATTTAATTGGGAATTTGTCTTTCATCGTGTATTGTTCCAATGAACTGATTCGATATAGAAATAAGGTGGAAAAATCATATTTCAAATACGAATTTCTCATTGCTTCATGACCCAAAAAACCTCTGTATCTAGTAGTGAACCAAATGTAGAAAGAAAATTGTTATATGCTTTAATATTCATTTATTAATAATTCATTATATAAAATATATGATAAATTATACTAAACATCCTTGTAATATGACTCAACTTCAAATGTACCCTATATTTTAAAATAAAATAATTACATACTATCATTTACAAAAATTCTACAAAAGATTAGGTTTAATAATATTATTATTTTACAAGGTTATTAAAGTGGTTAGATTTGAAAAGTACGGGGCATATATATAGCTATAATTAATACATTAAAATAGAATAACTAAAAGACAAATTAAAACTAATAATAGAAATTTGTAAAATTTAATTTTATGAAAATTAAAGAAAGAGCATAATCATTTCTATTGAAAATTTTAATTCATTCCTTTGATTTTAATTTTTTGTTGAAACATGTATATTTCAAACAAATCAAATAGAAAATAATCACAAATTATTTCATAATATATACTATTAATTACTAGTAATAACTTTTATACATTTTGAACATTCTATATGTATTTTTCTAAAAAAGAGTTATACGGGAAATTCTCAAATTTTAATTTTTTTTTACTTCCCCCCTTCAAATATTTAAATTTACTTATTTGGATGAATATTCCTTTGCGTAAAATCAATCTCAAGTAAAGCACGAAAATATGGAAATTATGTTCTTTTTTGTCATTTTTGGTTTCGAACTTTCACTATAAATACAAAATTTGGAATAAAAGTTACTAAATTTCCGAAAATCCTCTTAATAGAGGTGTTTACTAGTAATTTATTAAAAATAAAAAATGTGGTTAGAATACTCCATTATTTAGCCACGTTCCAGTGCAATATGCTTTCATTATTCTTGAGTTTTTTTGTTTATTTGTTTTGGTTGAATTATTATTCTTGAGCTTTGTGCACATGAAATGTGGTGGACAATATTACAATATATATTATATTACATGTTGATTGTGCATAATAATTTACTTTTAGGCCAATGAAAACATGTGATTTGATTCTTTTTATTATTATTTTTCTGTTTTTTCTCCTAACATCACTATTTTCATAAAGTTAATAAGTCGATTAATAAGACATTAACTCAACCTTAAAGGATCGCCAAAAGCTACTATTAATAAGATAAACATTACTTCATTTTTAATCAGAAATTTTGAAATTGAATTTTAAAAATAAAATTATCTTTTTAATTAAAAAAAAACATTTCATTCTTAATTTTTTTCTTTTATACCAATCTAATTAATTTTTTTTTCCTAAAATATTTAAATTAGGTCTTTCGTCTGAATTTTTCACCTTATCATTCATTACACTAGATTAGGAGATCTAACTAAACATGCAAAATGTGTTATTAACTCAAGAAAGTCAATAAATTAATCGCGTTAAAAAAGAGATATCGAATAATATATATAAAAAATAAATTCTAAAAAGATATTAAGTTTAATTTCAAAGCTTATTTTTAACCCTTCAACCAACGAAAAAAGAAAAAGAGAAAAGCAAAACAAGGCAAATAATAGCAAATTAGCAATCTTAACTTTCAAGGAAGTTTAGACTTTTCAGACCTTCTAACCAACCCACTCCACAAATAGAAAAAAGGAAAAAAAATAATAAATAATGAGCACATATATATAGTTTATATATATAAAATTTGAAAAGCATATTAACAATAATAATATATCTAGCACAGTAACTTCAGAAGAAAATAATATTTTCTTTGTGCCTTTTCAAAATTAGGAATTGTTAATATATTACTCTACTTTATTCTATCTATCATATAACTCTTTAGTTCTTTTTTCTCGGTCTTTAATTAAAAAATAAAATTTTCCTATTTGCTCGTTTATTTTAGTAAATTAAGAAATATTTATTATGTTCTTCCTATATTATTTTTGTTGATTTCTCTGTTGGTTTAATTCGCCATTAGGTGGAATCAGATCGTCGGTTCTCGATTGTTGCTTGATTACCTATGTCGATTGCGTTAAGCTTTTCCGTCTGCACAAAGCACAAATGGACACCGCTCTTTTGAAAATTTAGTAGCTGCGAGACCTGCTATATAAAATTTTATTTGTTTAATTTAAATTTACAAAATATAATTAGTTAGGATAATTTATAAAAAAAATATTCATTGTACACGCTTTGTAAATAATTATACACCTCATCAATTGGACTTTTTGAGTAAGAAAGATAACAACACGTCATTGTATTCTTGGTCGTAAAAATGGTGCGGGACCATTTTTTTTCTCAATTCGATGTGCGATATTAATATTTAAGGTCGATTAATACTTTTTCTTCTCTAATTACTTGTCCACTTTTGAATTGAAACACCTATTAAGAAAATAATAATTGACCTAATGAGTTTACTATTTTACCCTTATTAATTATGAAGTGGATGAATTAAAAACTTAAGATTTTCAAAAAAGTCTACCTTTTTCAATGTAATTAATTGAGGGTATAATAGGTACAAAAAAATTGTCCTTTCTTGATCTGTCAAAATAAACAAGTAATTAGAAACAATTAAAAAGAAAAAGTGGACAAGCAATTAGGGACAAAGAAAGTATAAAATTTGTGCCGAGCAGGGTCCTATTTGGGAGGTAGCATTTTCTATCAAAGACTTTTACATACCAAGACTCAATTCAGAGACCTCTAATTAAGAAAAAATAGCCATATACACTGCACCATATTCTTTAGTAATGGACCATTTCTTTTTAGTGTTTAATCAAAATATGAAATATATTTGGGGAATCATCACTTTTTGATACAAAATTCAAATAAATATTGCCCTCTTTAATATGTGGAAAATTTTCAACACGATTCACTTTTTGTTCCACTTTTAAATTTAAACTACATGGAATTAGCCCGTGCGAGCACAGTCTCGAAAATTGATCATTATAAACTATTTCGATAAAACTATATAAAAGAAACTTACAATTTTTAGTTAATTTTTTTTAAAATATTAATTATTTTTTAAATCTCATATTTACTTAAACATATCTAAATAAAATGAAATGCATGAAATAATATTTATATCTAAGCCTAAAAGTTTATATTTGCAAGTTAGGAATTTATAGTTTAAGATTAAAATTTACAATATAAATCATTATATTAGAGCTTAGTATTACGAATTTAATATTTATTATTTAGGCTAGAGACATTATATTTTAGATCTTTAACTCTACATTTAGAATTTAAATTATGTGTTGTTTGACATTTTCTTAAACTTTTAAT